GCAGCGCTCCGCGCCGTGCCGAAGGCGCCGCGGTGCGAAGACGCCAAGAAACGTTTTGTTTGGCCGTTGCCCTCCGCGCCGCCGGGGTCGCTATCTTCGACCTGCGCGCCCGCGCGTGGCCCCTGCCCCGCCGACGAGCCAGTTGCGCTGGCGCCGAGCTCGGGCGAATGGAACCCCACCCGCTGGCGGAAGTGGATGCGGGCCCCCCTGCGCCCTTGGATGGCGATCGCCCGTGTCCGATCTCAGACGAAGAAGCTCACGTGGCGCTTCGTGGGCCCCCGTCGCCCCTCGACGGGCCCGTCGACGCGCCGGCTGACGACGACTGCGACCCCTAGGTGCTCCGGCGGGGCATGGGCGCCCCCCTGGAAGACGACGCCCCCCCTCAGAGCCCGCCTCAGGCGCGGCCGTCCCGCGACAGCGCCGCGCGCAGGGCCCCTGGCGGAAGGGGCGCGGGTCGAAAAGCTCTCAGCCGCCCCAGACCCACGAAAAAATAATTCACCGTGAAATAGCCACGGCAGAGAGCTTGCCTCACTAAACCACCGCGGGCCACAAGCGGCAACTGACCCGCTGACCCAACGCGTACTGGGGGCCAGAGCAGGATGGGTCGACCACCTCGCCATATCACTTTGACCACCTCGCCATGTCACCCAATGTGGCTCATGTGCTGCGTCGAGGAGGTCATCCGCGCCCTCCAAACGGCGGCCTTCGTCGGACTCTGCGTGGACTTGCCCTGGGGGACGCTCGGCCTCCAGAGACGCCACGCACAATAAATGTGCGAGCGTTCCTGTGGTCGAGGCGACCAAGGACGCTGCGACCGTCGCTGACGCATCGCCGCGTTTTCGGGCCACGCCCTAGACCGCGCAATTCAGCAGATGAACGACGCGCGCCGCGATGCTTTGGGCGCCCACTTGAACCGTCTCGACCCCCACCAGGCTACCATGAACGCCCTCAGCCCACTGGGCGGGGTCTTCCAGCAGCCCGCGGCCCCGCCGTTCCCGTCGGAACGCAACGCGCCGCGCCCAGGAGCGGCGACATCGCGCGGGCCCGCTCCGCGACAGCGGGGCGATCGCACGGCCTCGGCCCCTTTCGACGGGCGCCGCTGGTTCAGGCGCGCCGACCCCTTTTGCCAGTGACGACGGGTCAAATGATTCTGACCACTCCAGTCCGTCCAGGTCGCCCACCAGACCCGCCGCCCCGGCGCCGCCGCGGCTGACCCCCTGGCGCTGACCCAGGGGGGGCGGCGCGGCGCGGCCCGCCGCCCTGCCGTCGCAGACGCCGCGTAGCCGGCCCAGTCGGCGCGGAGGAACATCATAGTTATGTGGCGGCGCCCTCATGCGCAGAGCCGGCAACTCTTCCACGGGCAACGGGGGCGACCGCCCCCGGGCTGACCCCGGGGCCGCACCCCCCTGGCCAAGTTCGCTGCGGCCGCTTGCCGCCAGTCGCTGAAGCCTCGAACCTGCCGTGCGACCCCCGGCCTGAGCCAGGAGGCCAGGCCGCCTCTGTCCCTGCGGCTCACCGCTCAGACGCCCCGCCAGCCGGGCCAGCTCGCAGCGCGGTGCCCCCGGGCCCGCGCCCAAGCGCAGCATCCGGCGACCTCCGACCAGGCAGCTGGAGGGGGTCACGCTATGCGGCCCTTTGCCGCCGCCGCCGCACGTTGCCCCCCTGCGCGGGCACTGCCTCTGCAGCCGCGTCAGGCTGCCAGCCGTTGCCCCCGACCATTTTTCTAACGCCTGTCCGACAATGGTGGCGCTGACCCTCCGCCCGCCAATTGCGCGGCATCTCTTGCTTGCCCGCGGTGGATACCTCTGGCCTGCCTCGCTCAATGGCCCCTCTTCGCCGCGGGGGCCCTGGCCGCCTCGGGCGCGCCTCGCGCGCCCTGGGCCCCCCCGCCCCCCGCTCCGGTTCAGGCCGAGCACTGGCGAATCATTCCCGTCGCGCACAGGGCCCGGCAAGCCGCCCACAAGGCCGCGCTGGCCCCCTTCCCGTCGCAGGGACGAGCCATGCGGGCCCAGGTTCAGCCTGCGGCGGACTGCCTGACGCAGCTCGAGCGCCAGTCCGATCGCGCCCAGGCCCTGTCCGGCCACGTCCACCGCACGACGCGACAGCACGTTAACGCGCTGCGTGAAGTCCACGCCGCCGTCCAGCGTCAGGCCTCGCTCGCCCCTTCGGTGACGAGCGTCTCCGCCTCCGCCGCGGCCGCCCTCCGCTCGGCCCAAGCGCTTCTCGCGCGAAGCTCTAGGAGCCCGTTTCTTTATTGCTTGGGGCATGACGGGCGTCATGGCCCCCGCTCCCCCCCAATGACGTAACGCTCCCAACCCCCAGTGCGCTCCGGGCACTGCCGCCGTGCGCATCTGGGATCCGCGTAAGTGTCCGCGCAGGAATGCGCATAGGAGTCTGGTCCGCAGTCGTCGTCGTCCGTCGTCGTCGTCGTCGTCGTCGTCGTCGTCGTCGTCGTCGTCGCTCATCGTTGTCGCTCGTGGCTCGTCGCTCGTCAATCATCGTCGTCGTGCGCGCGGACGCGGCTGGAGCCTGTTTATTATTCCGGGCCGACGACGGCAATCATCTGGAGGGGGTGGACGGGGTCGATGACGTCACGGTTTGCGCCGGCGGCGTCTGGGAATGCCTAAGAGTGACGGAGGACGGGTCGCACCAGCATGTAGCTGGAGATCTGCACCTCAACGCCTGTGTACACCACAGTTCCCGCGTGCACCACAGCGCCTGTGCACACCACGCCGCCTCTGTACACCACAGCAGCCGCGTGCAACACAACGTCAGTTTGTGCCACCGTGCCTGCGGGCACAACAACTGTTGTGTACACCACAGCGCCTGCGTACACCACATCAGCCGTGTGCAACGCAACACCATTGTACACCACAGTGCTTGCGTGCATGGCAGTGCCTGTATGCACCACGGCGCCTGTGTGCACCACAGCAACCGTGTGCAACACATCACCACTGTTGTATATAGAATGTTGGAAGAAGTCCGTGTGACAAAATGGAGCGTTTGTGGATTCCACAGAAAACAGTAGAAAGGGATCCTTATGGACAAAGGAGCGCCGCTGTAATGTACGAGTCCTGCCGAATCCGCCCGCATCACCCTAACTCTTCCCATTTGCGTCCAGGACGCTCCACCTAAATTGGCCGTCTGAGAACCAAGTAGACCGATTCAATCGACCATTCTGCGGTGCACGCTGGCATGCGCACGTGCGCTGTAGTGCCAACCCGCACGACAGGGGGTAAGGAGAAGGAGGAACAGGAGGAGGAAGAGGAGGAGGAAGAGGAGGAGGAGGAGGAGGAGGAGGAGGAGGTGGATGTGGAGGAATAGGAGGCAGGAGGAGGGAAAATCGTCGCATTCGATTATCAGCACTTTCCTTGCGTGGCGTTGAGTTGTCCGCAGCAGATCCTCACGTACATGCTCCTTCTAGTGTCCTATGCACGCAGACATTGTGGTGTACACTAGCGCTGCGTTGCACGCGGATGCTGTGGTGTAGACAGGCGCTGTGGCGTGCACAGGCGCTGCGGTACACGCAAGCATTGTGGTGTACGCAGGCGCTGTGTTGCTCGTGGTTGCTGCGGTGTACACATGGACACCGGCGTTGTAGTGTACGCAAGCACACTCTAGTGTACCCAAGCGCTGCGTTGCACACGGTTGTTGCGGTGTACGCAGGCGCTGTGGTGTACACGCGCACTGTGGTGCACGCGAGCGTTGTGGTGTATACAGGCGCAACGGGGCAGATCGCCATCTACATGCTGCTCGCGTCGTCGTCGTCGTCGTCGCTCGTCGCGTCGTGCGCGCGGGCGCGGCTGTGGTGCCAGAGCCACACGGCGGGGGGGCGTTACGTCATACCCCCTCCGCCGCCCCCCCCCCTCCACATGACGCCCGTCATCGCCGAACATAAAAACACGCACTCTAGCTAACCCCTTCCCTTCGAGGCCCGTGTGCCGCTTGGCAAGCGCCCACTGCGGCCTCTCCAACGCGGGTCCTGACGGGGTGCTGGATAGACGCCGTCACTTCCACCGATTCACCGACGCGCCAAAGACGGGCGCAGGCCTCGCGTAACCGCGCTGCAAGGTCACAGCTCCGCCTGCTGCTCGCTTGTGGAGGGCCCCCCTCGCCCCTCCCTCTCCTTTCTCCCCTGGCCGTCTGCCCAAATCGGGTGTGAAGGGCCAGCTTTTGCCAGTAGCACCGGCCAACGCCCGTCGGGTGCGGCGCGCTGACCCGTCAGCCTGGGGACGGAATTCCGTCCAGATTGTCCGGTCTGTCTCGCTGTCTCTCTCTCTCTCTCTCTCCCTCTCTCGCTCTCTCTCTCTCTCTCTCTCTCTCTTTGTTCTTCTTTCTCTCTCTCTCTCTCGCTCGATCTCTTTTTCTATTCCCCCTCTTCTTTCTGCAGCACTTCCAGGGGCCCATAAGCGAACCTGCAGGTACCCCAGGATGGGGTTGCAGGGCCGACTTGCAGGCACCCGGGGAGGGGTTGCAAGGTGTTCGGACCCGGGGTCGTTGGTGTCGTTCGTATGGCTGTTGGACCATGGGGCCACGACGCGCGCGAGGGGTGTGCCGAAATAGTGCATCGATGCGGAGAGCAGAGGCAGGGCTGGGAGGAGGGATGGGGGGGCGGCAGGAGGAAGCAGGAACGCGGGGCGCTGCCTTTTCAAGACGAGGACCCGACACCACAGGGGTGGCTGGGGGGGGGGGGGGGGTCGGGCAGGGGAGGTCGACAGGGGGCGGGGGGGCCACGGACGGGCCCCCTCCTCTTGGAGTGTTCCACGGGTGCTTTGGGTGATTCCGCAAGGTTTTGCAGGTGCCCACGGGTCCAGTTGTAACCGCCGAGGGCCCTTGGAGAAAAAAACGAGTGGGTGTTCTGACAACAGAGGAGGAACAGGGCGATGACGAGGATCAGCAACAGCAGCAGCAGCAGCAGCAGCAGCAGCAGCAGCAGCAGCAGCAGCAGCAGGAGCAGCAGTGGGCCTGTGAACCCTGGTTTCCTTCTCCCTCCTTTCAAGGTATCCCACCGACCCCTGCTACTGTAAATCTGGTGGCCTTGGCACCGACGCCCAGCCCGACGCCCAGCCCGACGGCCAGCCCGACGCCGAGCCCGACGCCGAGCCCGACGCCGAACCCGACGCCTGGTGCGACGCCCAGCCCGTCGCCCAGCCCGACGCCCAGCCTGACGCCGAGCCCGACGCCCAGCCCGACGCCCAGCCCGACGCCGAGCCCGACGCCGAGCCCGACGCCTGGCCCGACGCCCAGCCCGACGCCGAGCCCGACGCCCAGCCCGACGGCGAGCCCGACGCCCAGCCTGACGCCGAGCCCGACGCCCGGCGCGACGCCGAGCCCGACGCCCAGCCCGTCGCCCAGCCCGACGCCCAGCCTGACGCCGAGCCCGACGCCCAGCCCGACGCCCAGCCCGACGCCGAGCCCGACGCCCGGTGCGACGCCGAGCCCGACGCCCAGCCCGTCGCCCAGCCCGACGCCCAGCCTGACGCCGAGCCCGACGCCCAGCCCGACGCCCAGCCCGACGCCGAGCCCGACGGCGAGCCCGACGCCGAGCCCGACGCCCGGTGCGACGCCGAGCCCGACGCCCAGCCCGTCGCCCAGCCCGACGCCCAGCCTGACGCCGAGCCCGACGCCCAGCCCGACGCCCAGCCCGACGCCGAGCCCGACGCCCAGTGCGACGCCGAGCCCGACGCCCAGCCCGTCGCCCAGCCCGACGCCCAGCCTGACGCCGAGCCCGACGCCCAGCCCGACGCCCAGCCCGACGCCGAGCCCGACGGCGAGCCCGACGCCCAGCCCGACGCCTGGTGCGACGCCGAGCCCGACGCCCAGCCCGTCGCCCAGCCCGACGCCTCCCGTGCAGGCCACAGGCGACCCGCACCTGGTCAACGTTCATGGCCATCAGGGTCAACGAAAGGGGGGGGGTAGGCTCAGAGGGGGGTGCATCGACCGCCAATTGCCCATTCATCGCCGATAGGAGCCCGATAGCCCAGGACCATGCGGATTCGCTATCTGCTATCGGGGACCTATCGTCGATGCGTCGGCGACGCATCGCCGAGTAGAGGTCGATGTCTCCCCCCCTGAGCCGGTTCCCCCTAACGTTCCCTCTCAGGACAGCGTTTCGACATCTACCGACCGGGCGCCCACGTCCTTCTCCACATCCCGCGGCGGGCGGAACCGACGGTCACATGGCTGCACCTGGAGGCGGACGCCAGGCAGTTGGGCCCCACGTGCGAGGAGCTATACTTCCAGGCTGTCAGCGTGACGGGCGCGTGGGTCGAGCGGACTCGCAACTTGTCTGCCGATCTTATTAACGAGTTTGCACGGGGTGACAGCGGCAAACCCGTGCGCGGCCTCCAGTTCTTAGCGGAGTCGGCGGGGAACCGGAGCAGCACGTCGTGGATGTACTTCGGCAGGCTGGGCCTCAAGGTGGTCTGGGGCCACACGAGCGGGGGCATCAAGTACCTCAACGTGCTTCTGAAGCACGTGGGCCAGGCGGGCGTCCCTGTCGGTGGGCTCCTCGGCGAGGACGAATATTCTGGATCCCGAAACTCTAAGCAGAACAAGTTCCATAAACGTAGATTTGAGCTCCGAACAGGCTTCTTGAGTCGGCGCTGGACTTTCTGGCGTCGCCTCCTGCGCCGCCCCTGGCGCGTTCAGGGAGGGGGCCCGCGCCAATCCAAGAAGTCGGCGCACATGTGACGGTCCTGCCGTTCTTTCTTCTTTCAGAAACGTTGGGGTCCGCGTATTGAACAAATCAAGACATCGCACGTCTGGGACTTCTCTCGTCGCGCCCAGCGCGGGACGGCCAGGGCGCCACCACGCGCCCATCCCGGGCTGAGACAGGACTCGCTACCACGAGGGCGTCTCAAACAGAGTGCCCGCGCCGCGGGGCGGAGGTGTCAGATCATGTCTGCGGCCCGAGGCCCTGACCTCCATCCCGTCCCGGGGGGGGGGGGGCGTCACACGTTTCGTGGCGCAGCCACGCGTCCATCCAGGGAGCGGACAAGATCTGCTACCACCATGTCTCGTGGCCCAGGCCGTGAGACCGTGATTTAGCACGTCCTTGTTGCGTGTTCAGTGCTGCCCGATTCCGCTCGTGGAGGCGATGCCCGGCAGCGCCCAGGATGGCCACGACGCGCGGGATCCGACGATCCAATTCTGTGATGATGAATTTCGAACGAGTTGCGAACCCTGGTTCCCCCTGCGGGTCCAATCGACACTGGGGTATGGGATGCCCCCGCTGGAGTTCATAGGGACATCCTTCGAGTTTTGAACCCCAGCCTGTTTTGCAGAAATCTGGCCTGTAGGGCTAGGGTTTACATGTGGCTGTCTTGCAGGGGGGGGGGCCAGAAGGGCTGGATCCAGACATGCCGATCGCGGCGCAGGACAGTGGCCCGCGGGCCCTGAGCTGGTCATCTGGGGGGATGGGCACAGGTTCAGATCTGGTCAGGGGGGGAGAGAGGACAGGGGCACAGGTTCAGATCTAGTCCAGAGGGGGGGGAGGGGCACAGGTTCAGATCCAGTCCAGGGGGGGGAGGGGGGGCGGGGGGGGGAGGGCAGGGGCACAGGTCCAGGTCCAGATGTACACTTGAGCGACGCAGCAAAAACGGGATCGACTGCGCGGACATTCACGCGCGAGCCGCCCGCGTAAGGTCGCGCGTGAGCGCCCTCTTCTCCACGCGGTGTGTCACGCTGGCGGCCCGCGTCAGCGCTGCGCAAGGTCGCTATTCCATCTCGCGTAAGCCCCGCTTCATTTCGTCGCTCACATGTGGCGGGGGGCGGGGGAGGACGACCCACTCGAAGGCGAAACATCTGCACAAACACAAAAACATAAGCTTTTGAAGCTTTGCGCGGATTTCTTGGATCGGCGCTGGACCCCCCCCTCTGGCGCGCGGAGTGCGCCAGGGGCGGCGCCAGAGGCGCCCCGGGGGGGGGGCCCAGCGCTGATCTGAGGAATACACGCGGAGCTCCAACTGTTATAGTTACGGTATGGGGGGGCGACCATACGCTTGTGGCCCACCCTCGAGGACGACCACACGTTTGTGTCCACCCCGAGCTCGGCGTGCAGGCACACCGTCGCCCTGGTCTCCAACGGGCCCGTCGATCTCTCGGGGGTGGTGGACTAGCCCGGCTGCAGGGGGCAGCGGGCTGCGACCTGGGCCATCGGCGCGCAGCGTGAGCCGGCGATGGCAGTGGAGGTGATTGCGTCTGGGTGGGGTTAGTTTGCGATCGGCGCCGTTGGGGCTGACAGGGGCGCACCGTTGCGCCAGAGGTTTGCTGAGCCCTCGTCGGGGCGCGGCGGAGATTTTCTGTCGAGGTCTTCGCCCGCCCCCCCGCCAGGCGCGGCTCGCAAAGCACACCCTCTGCAAATCGCACCCTCTTCAGAGTCGCCGAACCTGGGCCAGCAGGTCGGGGGCCTTCAAAGTATGGAAGGACGCCAGGTATCGACCTGCGCCAGAGGGCCAAGCAACTACGTAAGCACACAGATGTATTCGGAGCTCCGCGCGGGTGTCTTGGATCGGCGCTGGAACCCCGCTCCAGCGCCGATCCAAGAAGTCCGCGTGGAGATCCGCTAGTTTATGTTTATGCAGTGTCGAGTCGGGGGGGCGGCCTTCAAACCAGGAGGGCCAGCAGCGTTTCAGGGGGTACGGCGCGCTCCAGAAAGGGCGTCGGCTTCGGCTCGTTCGGGCTGAAGAAGAGCGGCGGCAAGGGCTCCCGCGTGTGCAGGGCGATGCTCGCATCACCGTTTGCAGAGGGAGCACAGCTATGCGCGCGCCTGAGTGTTTAGCCTTTCGGGCGTCGGCACTATTTTTCTGGCGTGCATGGGAGAGAGGGAGAGGTTGTCTCCTTGGTTTGCCCCTCTCCCTCTCTCCGCTCGCTAGCTGGATCGGTGCGCGATTGGCGTGTAGATCCCGTTTTGTCGCTGAATCGCGAGCTGCGCAACAACAAACACCTCATAATCACAAGCTTTCTCAGTGTCGCTTGCCTCTAAGTACTAGAACAGACCTTGGCAAGATTATTCAAAGCGGAGGTTTCCATGTGGGCATCAGTGTGTAAGCGTGTCTTTTTGCGAGTGAGTCTAAGTATTCGTGGCTGGATATCTAATGGCCTTCGGCCCATCCCGCCACTGTGCAGATCGCGGGACGCTTCTCGAGGGCCTGATGGGTGCCGTTTTGAATTTTGAAGGCCTCTTGGGGGGGGGCTCTTCGGGCATCCTTGGGGCCTTTTAGGGGCCCTTTTGGGACGGACGACTCGCATTTTCGGTTTGTGTTCCCCCTCTTGGGCCCTTCTTGGGGCTGTCTTTGGGCCCTCTTAGGCCGCCTTGGGCGCCTCTGGGCCGTCGGAAGGCGTCTTGGGCCGTCTGGGGGCCTCTTGGGGGCCTCTTGGGTCGTCTTCGGGCGGTCTTTAGGGCTTCTTGGGCCGTCTTGGAGCGTCGGATACTCGAAGAGGCGAGGAACTCTAAAAGGGTTGAAAAACTTGCTGGGCATCGACGATTTGGGTCCCTCGGGGCCTCTGGGAAGTCTTCTGGGGCACCTCGAAGGCTTCTTGGGTCGTCGTGGGCCGTCTTGGGTGTCTTGGACCGATCGTGCAGTGATTCGGTATCCTCTAGGACCGTCTGGGCAGCCTCTTGGAACCCTCTTGGCCCGCCCGGCCTCTTGGGACCCTCTTGGCCCGTCTTGGGGCCCTCTAGGGCCTGAGAAACTCCCGAGAGAAGCCGCGACGGGTCCCCGAGGGCACGCCGGGAGCCCCAAGAGATTTGTGAATTGTGGGTCTGGGCCCGTGAACCATTTTCAGGGTTGCGGACTGAGTCTTGAGGGATTAGGCCAAGGACCTGAGGACACCCCAGCTCGTGCATCAGGGCACGGTGGCGGATAAGCGGGTCTGCCTTGTGCGTGAACGGATCGGAGTATAAGCAAGTCCGGACATTCGTGGGAGGTCCTTGAATTCTCGGGCGTTTGGGAGGCTCCCACAACCTGACGGCGATCAGGCCCGCGTCACGCCCGTTGGCGATCTCCCCTGGGGTAGCTCTAAGGCAATCCTTGCTGCATCGCGGTAGTCATGATGGAGGCCCCCAGAGTGTGGGCGCAAACGGGTCCGTGCAACAACCTTGGTTGACCCAGGCGCCATTCCCACTACATCTGTGATGATCATGCTGATCAGAAGGGAGGCACGTGCCTCCCTTATAACAGGCTTCGTACTTCAGAGTTCGCACAAGTCTGAGCGTTGACGGCAACAACCCAGGTCGGCCTTCCCGTGTGACGCCCAACTGCCATGCGTGCTAAATCGCAATGATCATGGGGCTCTGAGAAGAGGCACTCGCAAACAGGAGGTCCTACATGAGAGGCCCGTACAACACCCCAGGCCGACCCCCCCCCTCCTTTGAAAGGCCCGAGTGCAATGCCTGCTACATTGCGATGGCCATGGGGCTATGAGAAGAGACCTTTCTCCCCCGCGATGGTCATTGGGCGGTCTTTGAACAGAGACTTGACACTTGTCTCTCCATAAGCAGGCGTTCTACCTGAGTGGGACCACCTATCTGGGCGCGTGCGTGCTACATCGCGATGGTCACCGGGCTCTGCCATGCCTGGTGCATCGCGGTAATCATGGGTAGTGAACGGGTCTGAGTCTGAGCTCGTTTGAGAATGACAGAGTCTGAGTGTGAGCGAATCTGGGTATGAGTGAGCTGAGCGGGCACGAGCGAGTTTGAGTGTGAGTCGGAGTGTGCGTCAGTGTTGGGAGGCGGAAGGAGGCGGGAGGCGGGAGAGTGTCTCACTAACAGCGGCAAGAACACCAGACCTGGGATACGTGGAATGAGTGGCCGCAGGGATGGGGGCGGGAGCTTGGGGGGCCCGCCTCGTGACAGGCCTGGCCCTTGCAGGCCTTGCAGGTCGCTTCCGGGAGTCGTCTTCCGCCTGCTGCTCTTGATGTCGATTCTGTGAAGTGGGCAGACTCTCGGGAAGGTTCTCCCAATCCTCGAGCCATGAGTATAAGCAAGTTTTGGTCTCGAAGTTTTCTTACGCTATTGCAGTCAATGATACACTTTCGGGGGTCCGTGCGGATCTCTTGGATCGGCGCTGAACCCCCTCCCTGGCGCACGGAGCGCGCCATGGGCGGCGTCAGAGGCGCCGCCACGGGGGTCCAGCGCCGGTTTAGGGAATGTGTTCGGATCTCCGAAAGTGCTTATTTTTTGCAGCTTCTTCTTCTTCTTCTCCTTCTTCTCCTTCTTCTTCTTCTTCGACGTCAACCTTGTCGGCCCGCAGTCTCGGGCACCCGCGACAGGAGAAGTGCGTCGCGGCGTGCGCCCAGGCGCTGCGCGACGGCAAGAGCGTCGTTATGGACAATCAGAACGGGGACTGGGCGACCAGGAAGGCGTACACCGCGGCCGCCAAGGATCGAAGTACAAACAAATCGCATAAACACGAATTGTCTGAGCTTCGCGCGGATTTCACGGATCTGCGCCAGCCCCGTCCTTGGCGGGCGGGGCGCGCCAGGGGTGGCGCTGGAGGCATCGCCAGGGGGAGGGGCCCAGCGCCGATCCAAACATTTCCGTACGGAGCTCTGGAGGGTTGTGCCTGTGCTGTTTTCCTCTCCAAGGACGCTTGAGTTCCTGCGACAGCTGTACTTCTGGACATGTCGAAGGACTTTTGCTTCCATCTGCGCTGCTGCAGGGCGCTCAACGCCCGAAGCCCCGAGCGCCAGGGCGCGGACCGGGTGCCGTCCATGGTGATCCACGCATACTTCAAGAGCTCCGAGCGGCCCACTGTGTAGGAGGGGTTTGTAGAGGTCACGGTTGTGACTCTCGACCACTTCGTCCCGCGGGGTGCCGAGGACGACATTAGACTGCTCAAGAGCTTCTTGATCGCCTGACCCTGGAGCTAAAAAAGCCAGAGGAACGACCACGCCGACGCACGACGACGACGACGACGACCACGACGACGACGACGACGACGACGACGACCACGACGACAACGACCACGACGACGACGGCGACGACGGACTCGGTGACGGCCACGAGGACGTTGACGATGACGACGAAGGCGAAGGCGAAGGCGAGGGCGAAGGCCATGACGACGACGAGGACAACGGCACCGACCGACGACGGCAATCGACTCGACGGCGACCTCTGGTCACGGCTGCGAATTTCCCTCGAAGCTCAAGACCCGCGGCCGTGGCGACGGACAGTTTGAAGTTATTTCCTGCCTCTGGGTGTACTCGCTGGGTCCCGGGAACTTCAAGAAACGACTTGGCATGAATGATCGTTTGGTAGGTCTCCGGTGTCCGCATTGAATTCATGACGTCGGGGGTCTTGGGATCGCGGAGAGCGCTCAAGATTGAAATATCCGTGTGGCAGCAGGGACCAGCCGCAAGTTTTTGCCCAGTGCACTAAAACATCCTCTGCCAGGGACCTCAAACACCGTTCGATGCTCTTCGATCGGAGCAAGGCCAGTTGAGACAACGCCGGCCCTTTTGCCCTGTCCAGGTCCGATCAGGATCTGCTCTGGGACACATCCCGGGGTCCATTCTGAATGCAGCCGTGGCGATGAGAACCCTCCAGGAGTCCAAAAACGGACGAACAAAACGCCGGGGATGGCCGCCGTTGTCGCAACCGCGTGCACTCCCAGCCTGGCCTGGCCAGGGTCGGCGTGGCTTTGCAGTTGGCGTCCTGCTAGGAAGTTTGTAGTTTTACATAGATATATGATTATATAAAATATAATCTAGACTGTCCTGGAGGATCCAGGAAATCCTGCAGCCCTTTGTTGCTCGAGGAAAAGAGCGACCCTCACCTCCCCCCTTTCTCCGTGAGGGGGGTGGGTGCGCGTGCATGGTAGCGGAGCTCGCTTGAGGATCGCGGGCCGCTCCGCACCCCGGCGAGCTCAAGGAGCCCCTCAGCAGCTGGCGGGCCGATCCACGCGAGCGCCGAGAGGACCCCTTGCTAGTCAGAGCTGCGGTCAGACCCGCGCTCTGACAGTGGAGGCCAAGCAGCCACGGAGAAGGCCAAGAAGCCGAACAAGCGAGGAGGCAGGTCGGCGGACACGCGTCAGCACCGCGAGCTCCGAGGGACCGCCTTTAGGAAGCTCAAGGCGTGCGGCAGCAGAGCGCAGCTCACGCAGGAGGAGCGAGCAGCGGTGACGAGGCAGCTGAGAAGCGACATCGAGAGGATAGGGAAGCGTGTCAGCGACGTGCTAGACTATCAAGATGGAGCAGCAGCTGCAGCAACTGGTCGATCAAGTTCAGAGGCTGACGACGGAGAGTCAGAACATGAGACAGGAACTTCAGAACAGAGACGTGACGATCGCAGAGATGCGAGGTCAGCTTCAAGCTCAGCAACAGGCTCAGCAGCAGCGGGTAGCCCCGCGCGGCGAGATGATGGATCCGAAGATTCTTCACAAGGTGAAGCCGTTCGACGGCCACAGGGCGAGTTGGAAGACGTTCAGTTTCCAGTACAGAGCGTACCTGATCGCCCAGGATCGAAGGTACCGAGATCTTCTGGAAAGGTGCGAGGACGGAGCCCAGGAGGTGGACAACGTCAACCTGGACGCGCAGGAGGAAGAGCTAAGCATGCAGTTGTACTACGGCCTGGTCCTGGCGATGCCCGAGGACTCAGTAGGCGAGCTGATCGTGAGGAACAGCCCAGTAGGAGAAGGAGCCGAGTGTTGGAGGAAACTTCAGAAGGAGTACAACCCGAGCGAGGCAGGAAACGTGCTGGCGATGTGGACCAAGCTCACGGACACGAAGTTCGACGCCAAAGAAGACGTGATGGTGAGCATCAGCAAGCTGGACGAGGACATGACAAGGTACCAGAAGATGGCAGGAGAACCAGTCTCGGACCTGATCAAGCGAGGCATCCTTACAAAGGCGCTGAAGGATCACGACGAGCTGCAGAAGCACGTGTTTCGGAACAGCAGTCGGCTAAGTACGTACGAGCTCCTGAGAGCCGAGGTGGTGTCGGCGTTGATGGCAGAGCGAGCGGTTCAGGACGACCCGATGGAGATAGGCGCGCTGAAGGGCGGAAAGAGACCGTGGAAAGGCCGCGGCAAAGGGAAA